TTTTATAGGTAATAAAGAACAAGTTTGGCTGTCTTCTCCAAAGATTGGTTTGAAAAATTAATAATCACCTTAGCCGGAAAGGAAACCTTATTAATATTTTGAAACTGAATTTTGATTATTTTAGACTTATTGTTTTTTTTCCAGTATAACTCTTGTGATTTTTTTTTTATATGGAAGGAAAATATTTAAATCTTTCTCATATTGATTGATGACGTGTCTATTTTTAACACGACATTGAAACATTCAAGTGTATATGATAATAAATAAATAATTTTTTTTTCAAAATAATGAATCATATATATCTTACGTATATTTTAAATCCATATCACATCAAAATTAATTATTTGAGAAAAATAAATAAATCAAACTTAAATCCTTCCCCATAATAAATTTAATTTTCTAATTCCTTTTAAAAATAACTATTTTCATTAAATTTATTGTTCATTTGATAAATACTTAAAACAAAGAGAAAAAACACGTTCATTTGATAACTATTCCGTCCAGATTACGCACCAGTACTCATACCATCGAGGTAGGCACAAGCAAGATAGAGGAGGTGCGACAAGACAACTAGGTGTCCCGACCATGTGGAAGTGACTTGCGGTCTCCTGAACATCGTCTCTATGCTATATAAACTTGTTCCTAAGAAAGGGATGTAGGACCATATAGGTTGACCTAGTAGCTAGCCATTATACAAGGGGTAACTTCCCGAAGCTTTGTCGAAGGGTCCACCAACTAACCTTCCTTAGATAATGTTCATATTAGCGGACACTATATTGTCTAAGAACACGGTAGCATTAGAAGAAATCCTATAAAAATGCACTGTTAATAAATTATTTTAATAAATTTATACCATTAAAATGTTAAATCTATTAATGTTTTCATTAAATATGAAAAAAGTGAAGGTTCACAATAATAATAATAATAATAATAATAATAATAATAAAACAAATTAAAACAGCTATGTGATTTAAACCTATACCATTTTTCAAATTACAGTTTTGCTCATTGTACTCTTTTTATAAAAATTGCCCTCTATGAACTTGAAACTAAATTACTTCAATAAATGGATGTATTAAGAAACTAGAGGAAAAAAAAACATAATAATTTCTTTAGAAAGAAGAAATATTATTAATTCATTGAAATTCACGTGTGAGGTTGAGATTCAATGAAGGAGCATTTTTCAGTCAAAATAGCAAGGATCAGTGTGCTTGCATTGCAAGAAATTTGCCGCTCCCAATGCAAGATTCAGAATTTGACTTAAGCCTTTGTAACGAGACAACAAAAATGGTGGATATGGTGCAGTGCTATCAAATTCTAAGTCACACATATCAAAAGCGCCCGTCGCCAAATTTGTACTACCAACCATATTTGTGTTGGGGTCATTTAACAAATCTTGTAACGATGCTTTAAAATCATCTATGCCCTCTTTGTACTTAGTATTGCAGAGTTCGAAAGCCTGACGAGATATGTTGTTTAAATCTGACCTCTTCAGCTGCTTCACGATGTACTTATGAGTATCAGAGGCATATGCAATGGAATGATTTATAAAGATAACAAGGAGTCCTGTGAAGTTTGATTTCAAGTCTGCACGAGGATCTGAAGATACCAAAACATAGCAAAAATTACATTCTTCTTCTCCATACTTCTTATCTAAATACTTCTTATCTTCATACTTCTTACAGGCGTATCTGACAAAATCATGTGAGACTGCAGTTTGATATATTTGAGTAACGAGACACAAACTCAAAAGAAATAAAAAAAAGAATACTAGAGAGTTTTTTCACCATCATGTTGGTTCTTGCTTTTTTTTTTTTTTTTCTTTTCTGTTTCTGCTCTGTACTAGTTTTCATAAGTAATAAAAAACAACTTTGGATGTCTCTCCAAAGCTTAGTTTGGAAAGTTAATAATCACCTCGGTAGGAAAGGAAACCTTATTAATATTTTGAAATTGAATTTTGATTATTTTAGGCTTATTGTTTTTTTCGAGTATAACTCATGTGATTTTTTTTTATGGAAGGAAAATATTCAAATCTTTCCATCTTGGTTGACGACTTGTGTCTTAAGATTTTTAACACCGACATTGAAACATCTTGTAGGTGATAATGTGAAGGAAAAGTTAAATTATGCATTTTATTTCCACGAGGATAATCATTCCTACAAAGAAAAAATATTATTGATTGATTTATTGATTTATTGAATTCTCGCATTTTTTTTACTCATACTAGCGAGGATAAATGTGCTTGCATTGTAAGAAATTTGCAGCTCCCAAAGCAAGCTCCAGAAGTCGCCTTAAGCCTTTGTGACGAGCCAACAAAAACGGTGGATATGGTACATTGCCGTCAAATTCTAAGTCACACGAATCAAACATGCGAACCGCTGTATTTGTACTATCAACCATATTTGTGTTAGGGTCATTTAACAAATCTTGTAACGATGTTTTAAAAATATCTATACCCTCTTTGTAGTTAGTATTGCAGAGTTCGAAAACCTGACGAGACATGTTGCTTAAATCTGACTTCTTCAACTGTTCCACGATGTACTTATAAGTATCAGAGGCATATGCAATAGAATGGTTTATGAAGATAATTATGAGTCATGTGAAGTTTGATTTTAAGTCTGCACGAGGATCTGAAGCTACCAAAACAAACCAAAAATGTTATTCTTTTTTCTTCATACTTCTTACCTGCGTCTCTGATAAAATCATTTGAGGTTGCAGTTTGATGTATTTGAGTAACGAAACACAAACAACTCTAAAGAAATAAAAAAAGGATACTAGAGAGTTTTTTCACCATCATATTCGTTTTTTTTTTCTTCTTCTATTTCCCACTCTATACTCATTTTTATAAGTAACAAAGAACAATACTTCATATCTTTCTACAAAGCTTGGTTTGGAAAGTTAATAATCATCTTGGTAGAAAAGGAAACCTGATTCATATTTTGAAACTGAATTTGGATTATCTTAGGTTTATTGTTTTTTTTATTATAGCTCAAGATTTTTTTTTTCTATGGAAGGAAGATATTCAAATCTTTCCCATCTTAATTGATGACATGTCTCTCTTAACCGATGTATACTTTAAATCTATACCAAAAAGTATATCGAACTTAAATCCTTCCTTACATAAAAATATAATAAATTTAATTTTCTAATCCATTCTAAAAATAACTATTTTTCAGTAAATTTAGCTTGCATTTGATAAATATTTAATATGGTGTAGATCGACATTTATTTATTAGGATTGATGTGTATGATTTCCTTAAGTAAAAATTAAACATAAAATAATTATAAAAATTATAATATATAGTTAATATGTGAACATTAATTAAAAATTAAAAAAAAAAAACTACTTCTCTTGTCTTGCTCCCTTATATGTTAGGATAGTTGAGTCTTGTTTCTTAAATTTGATCTCTTCAACTTCGGTACGTTTTAACCTTTTGAAACATAATTTAGATTATCTTATGTTTCTACCTTACTTTTTTTGTCTTTAATTTCTTAATACAGAGAGTTCAAACGTGACTCTATAAAAGTTTTGGAATCATGTTTTTTTTTTTTTTTTTTTATAGGAAGAGTTGTGCAAAACCAAGTAAAAGAAAAGGCATAACATTAATTTAAGGATTCTTCGACCATCGTTGAATGTTATCTAAGGTAGCGAAACTCAAAATGGTAAGAATTAGGCAATGGCGAGGGTATTCAATCCGGGTGTCGGGTGGTTCCGGGTCATGTCCCTGGGTGCGCGAGTCGTGAGGCTGGGCCGCGTGTTGGGGCCGAAAGGCCGTCGATTGCATGCGTGACACGTGTCATCCTCATGGGTTTCATAGTGGGCTTCAGATGGGTTGACCGACCCGAAACCGGATCCATGATATATATCTCTCTTACCCGAACTTCTTCCCCCTTCGTTTTTCTCCCCCGATTTGGTTTCCGACGGCTACAACCATCCTTCCGCCCCTTCCGACGGCTACAAACCTCGTAGATCTACTCAAGATGAACTTCTTCCCCCTTCGTTTTTCTCCCCCGAGCTGTCTTTCGCTGCCTGCGGTCGTCAGCGGTGGCAGGGTACGGTTGCACCTCCCGCTTCCTCCTTTATTTTATTTATTTATTATTATTTTTTAAATTTATTTATTTGTTTTATTGCTCGTTAGTCCTCTGTTTCATGGCGTTGCACTATGGAAGGAAGGGGTTTCGTCTCACCGGAGTTTATGTCCGACGGGGTAAACCCTTCGTATTCCATCATTTTCTTTCTATATTTCACGTTTCCTTTTCTTGCAGGTGAGCTTATGACGAGTAGTCGTGCGGGGTGTCTTAAAACGAGAGGTGGGGTATGGTTTGTGTTGGTCGGAAATGTACAACGATTGTTCCATCTATCTCTGTCACTCGTTGATTTTCATTTCCCTTTACTTTTTGTTTCATTTTATTTTATATTTATTCTTATTGCGAGCTCGTAAATATAAAATAAAATGAAAAAAAAAAAAGGTAAAATAAACGAAAATTATAAATTAAAAAAAAAAAAAAAAAAAACCAATGAGCTCCCAAATTATAATTCATTTTTCACAAAATTAGTATTTTGAAAGAGAACCTAATTAATATTTTGAAACTTAATTTGATATATAAAAGTTGATTTTCTCAAAAATTTAAATTTCAAGTTGATAGATGATTTGATTATCTTCCTGATTCTTACATGTCTGGAGAAAGACAAAGCTGAAGGAAGAAAAAGGAAATAAAAAATCACACAATAACAGCAAAAATCAGCCCATTAAATGATCTATCCATTAAAATCCAAGATCATTAAACCAAAATAAAAAAAAAATCACACAATAATAGAAAAAATCATCGCATTAATTAATGTATCCATTAAAAGAAAAAAAAAATCATTAAAATAAGAGGAAAACATCTTAGTGGGGCCCACCTCATTATTATCTTTTCTCTCATCGTCTTTGTTCTCCTCCCCTATAAATTATCTTGTATTTTCAAATAATTACACCACTCTCCACCATCCCCCTCCACTCACCACCATCCCCCGTCCACTTTCCGCCACCTCCGGTCCACTCTCCGCCACCCCCAGTCCACTCTCCGCCCCTACCCATTCACTCTCCACCCCCACCAGAGGTTTTTTTCTGCCAATCGAGGCTTTGATAATCTGTACATTGACCATAGGTGTCAGAATGGGGAGATCAAAGCTATTTTATTTTTGGTAAGGAAATGTATATTTCTTTATTTACCTTCTCTGCGATTTCTGTTCATTCCTCTTCTCCTCCTACTGCTCCCATTATGTACTGCTTATAACATTTTTTTTTTCTTTTTTACAAAACTAGTAAAAAATAGTTACTTTCTATAACAGATGAAAAATTCTAATTTATTACATTTTCAGGTAAGTATTTTAAATACATACAATCTTTTGATATATATGATTCATGCAACGAAAATAATATATATATAATTTTTAGTTTGAACAGAATAATTAATTATTTTTTTATATACATTTAAATGTTTTAAATGTTGGTTCAACTCATGTGCTCCAATTTATATATCTTCACTCCTAAGCTTGGTTAAACTCTAAAAATAAACTCTTTCAAAGGTTTTGAATTATTAATAATAAATTTTAAGATGGTAGTAAAAAAAACCATGAATAATTTTTATTTCATTAATATGTGATAATGGGCACGGTTGTTAATAGGAGCAATGACACTGGATTTGGAACTCAACAATTTGTAACTATTGGTGAGCTAAACCCACGTCTTTTCTTTAGCCTAAAGTGTGTCTTAAAAGTCAAGAATTATACACGTTTAATTGACATTATTTGATTGTTTTCAGCTCGAGCAGAGTTTTTGAACTTTATGGACTTAGCCATAAAGTTGTTTTCACCCACAATCATGTCAAACAAAAAACTTGGACTAAGCCATAATGTTATTACTACCCATGGTTAAACGATAAATTTGGTCGGTAACGTTTTAGATCTTTTGATTAATCTAAACGACAAGTATTGACTTTTCTACTCTTTAATTGATGGGAGGATTAAAATCTTCTGAGGAATCAGAGGGCCTAAGAGGTATAAATTAAGCATTACATATTCAAATACTCATGCTTCCTAAATTAATATTATTATTTTATATCAACCAACATGAAATTTGATGAAATTAAAATTATATTATTATTATTATTATTAATAAATGAAAGTTTCATTTAATTTAATATTTTTCATTGACCACGGAATCCCATAATGGAGTGGGTGCTACAATTGTCACACGTGTGTCTCCATGCAAAAACTGTTTTAAAAAATAAAAAATATACATTTTTATTTACTTTATTTTTGTCTTATTTATTATTATTAATTTTTAAATTTGTGTTGAAAAAATATTTTAATAACTTAAACAATTATATATTACAGTAAGAAGAAGACGTTAATTTACTTTTTTTTTTTTAATGATTCATTATTGTTATTATAATGTAATACCTTTGCTAAACAAAGAAATCCACATTTAACTTCTTGTGTTTAGAAAAATGTAAATGAGAGTCTCTTCTTGTTTTTACAATTGTGAATTGATAGTGACAGGTAACTTTTATGGCTAAAGGATGAAATTTACCTTCTACACACAATATATTTTATTTCTCTATTCTTCCTCTCCTTGATTTCTCCTTTCTTCTCCTTTGTAAATAAATTAAAGTTCACACCACGCTCTCTGTGCCTAAATTTTAATCTCTAAATTCATCCGTCTTCATCTGTAAGTTAAAATGTCTAGCTTCAGCTCTTTCTTTAATACGTTTTTTTGCATGACATTCTTTTGTAGTAGCACTTTTTATAATGCTACTGTCTCGTTAGATGGAAAGGGAGATTACGTAAGCATCGGTGCCGCTATAGCAGCGGCATCGAATAACAGTAACTCTAGGTTTGACATTCATGTTAAACCTGGACTATATTATGAATACATAAAAGTTGAATCGTCCCAAACGTTTATTACATTAACGGGTGACGATGCATCTACTACGACGATAGTGGGTAATAGAAGCCAAGACACTGGCTTTGAAACATCTACTAATTGGTTGTAATCGTCCAAAGTCAGTACCTTGGTTCCTATTACCAACTATCGTTGTGGAGAGATGCATCGTCACCCATTAATGTAATAAACATTTTGGAAGATTTAACTTTTATGTATTCATAATATACTCCATGTTTAACATGAATGTTAAACCTGGAGTTACTGTTATTCGATGTCGCTACTATAGCGGCACCGATGGTTGTGTAATCTCCCTTTCCATCTAACAAAACAGTAGCATTATAAGAAGTGTTACTACAAAAGAATACATGCAGAAAAAACGTAGTAAGGAAGAAGCTGAAGAAGCTAGACATGTTAACGGGCAGATGAAAATAGATGGAGCTAGGAAATTGAAATTTAGGCTAAGGTATATTTCTTACTGAATGAACCCTCATTTATTTATAGAGGAAGGAGAAGAATGAAGAAATGAAATATCGTGTAAAAGGTGAATTTCTATTTTAGCAAAAAAAAAAAAAAGTGAACTGTCTTTATCAAATTACAATAGTAAATTTAGACATCATTTTCATTTACATTGTTTTACTTTTTATTACAAATCATATAAAATTTTGAAAAAATTGAATTGATTTAGATTTTTAAGTAATAACATAAAAAAAATCTAACAAGAAGATAGAATTGGAATTTGGTTTTTATGCATGATAATGTTTAGATGCTTCAAATATAATTTAATGGAATTATGGTATTGTATGCTTTGTTTATTTTATTTTTAAAATTCAAAATTAGGAATGATCCAAACCTCTCAAAGCTTGTGGTGGAGACTATATGTGTTAATATACACACAAACATACGCGTGCCCAACGGCCCAGCTTCAACAGCCAACCCATCTCCACCATACTGGACAATAGCATTCGAACGCGGGCCGACAGTAACCAACGGCCCAGCCCAAATGTTTAACCCAGTGCGACCAGCAACTTGTGATCCGGGACCCGCGCCTCGACCCGGAATACCGCCTGCACACGCGTCCCCTCCCCCTATCGACTCGTGGAGGTTAAAAATGAATGATTTTTTTTTTTTTTTTTAACCCTTCCTGAGATGAATACGAACTTACTAAAGACAACTACGGTTGGTAAAAGGTTCGTTTTCTCAATTTAAGTTAAGTTTAGCTAGGAAATTAGTATTATTAGCGAAACAAGATGGACGTTCTAATAGGAAACAACTACTTAGCCGACCTACTAAAACTATTGGAAAATATTCAAATCTTTCTTATCTTGGTTGATGACATCTGTCTTAAGATTTTTAACACCGACGTTGAAACATCTGTATTATCATAATAAATAATTTTTTTTTTCCAAAATAATGAATCATATATATCCTACCAATTGTGTATATTTTAAATCAATATTACATCAAAATTAATTATGAGGAAAAAAAAAATCAAACTTAAATCCTTCTCTATAATAGATTTAATTTTCTAATTCCTTCTAAAAATAGCTATTTTTCATTAAATTTATGGTTCATTTGATAAATATTTAAACAAATAGAAAATAAAAAAAGTAAGACAGAGTGAAATTAGTCTTCTCACCTTTTTTTTTTTCCCTATTTTTCCGGCCAAAACATGAACTACTAGCAACATTTACTAGTGTCTCTGCCTGCACTCTGCTCGCAAGTGGAGCCCGCGCGTGCAGGTGTTCGAGACATTGGCTGAAGGCTGGAGGAGGGAGGGAACGTATGGGGACGATCGGTGGCTGTGAGATCAAAATAATTTTAAAAACTCCTGAAATGATGGGCTACGCAGGCCGCAGGCGCGCGATGGGCCGGGCAGGCCGCGTGCATGCGGGTCGGCCCGCGGGGTTTTCCCTCTTCTCCTGATTTTTTTTTTCTTTCTCTTTCCCTTGTCTCCGAACTTCTTCCCCTTAGTTTTTCTCTCCTGATTTGGATTCCGACGCCTACAACCATCTTCAAACCTCGTAGATCAACTTAAGATGAAGTCATAGATGGTCGGCGGTGGCAGGGTACGGTTGCACCTCTCACACGCTTCCTCCTCTATTTTATTTTATTTATTTATTTTATTTCTATATCCCAGCCAGTATTACACCGTTTTGGTGGTAATCGCTGGTGTATATCAAGGTGTTCTGTTACTCCTTTGTTCCATGGCGTTGCACTATTGAGGGAAGAGTGTTTCGTCTCACCCAAGTTTATGTCCGACGGGATAAACCATTTCACGTTTCCTTTTCTTGCAGGTGAGATTATGAAGAGTAGTTGTGGGGGTGTCTTAAAATGAGAGGTGGGGTATGGTTTGTGTTCGTCCCAATGTTTCTCTCGTTGAGATATGTGTTGTTTGAGTGTGATTTTATTTGGTGTACTGTTTTTTCATTTTATTTTATATTTATAAATTCCTAATAAGAATAAAATCGATGAGCTTTCAAATTAATGTCTAATAAAATTTAATTCATTTTTGTTTGGTCAAATAAAAAAACAGAAAAAAAAAAACAAGAACTGTCAAGAATAGAAAAGATGTATGCAAAGATATTAAACCTAAAAAAAAAACTACTTATTAAAAGCAAAGATATTAAACTAAGACTCCTTTTTTTCAAAAAAAAAAAACAAAAAGAAAAAAACTCAAATAATGTCTAATGATTACTTATTAATCAATTAAATGTAAAATAATTGAAAAGTTGATAAAGTAAAATTTTAATTTGACACTTTTCCCTATTTGCAGTCACACGGAGGGATAAAAAAAAATTAATTAAATGGGAGTTACAATCTCACACGTGATGGTTAATCTGACAAAAAGAATAATATCACCAAACAACAAATCTGATTGCACCATGCCACCACGCCGCCTTTTATCAAATGTGAAATATGATTGAAAAATATTTATATTTTTTTAATGTCAAATTAATAAAAATGTCTGGTTGGTTTTATCTCGTAAATATTTTTATATTTTAAACTTTTTTTTTAGAGAAATTTAACAGGTTTAAAACGTATTTATGAAACCCTAAAATTAAGGCACAGATGAAAATAAATAAAAAGTGTTCTAAATTTAAAAACTCAATATACATTAAATTTAAATTTCATGTGACGTTTTATTCTAGATTTTTTTACAGCAAGTAAATTTTGATGGTTTAAAAATTTTAATCTCAAATAAATATCGCATCAAATTAATTACAGACTCTTTATCCAAACTTACATAATTAATTAACTATTTTTTATTCCAAAAAGCTAGTTGACTTGTGTCAGAATATTTTATTAGAATAAATAATTTTATTTTAATATTAAAATACAAAGTTATATTGCCTTGGTATAATACCGTTCGACAGTTTGTCTGATTCTTGAGATGGATTAAAGATTGGAAAAATAAAAATAAAATGAAAAAATAACTTTGAAAATATTCTGTCAATAATAGATTAAAAATAAGAATTAAAAAGAAGATATGAAACGATACTAAATAACTCTTATTGCATGTCACATCGCACATATCTATATTAAAAAAAATCAGGTCTATATGGTACACCAGTTTCTGGCAACCATGTAGTCTCATTAATAAATTGTCGTACAGTAAATTGAGTGGCTTCCTTTCGATCCTCTATTGCATGGAATCCTGCCCATTTGACTCTTCCAGATGGACCATTCTGATCATTCGGCAGGATTCACCACTGAGTCTAAAAACGATTCTATAAAAATCACAGTGGAATAGTCTCTCCAAGTACAGCCAAGAAACACAATTGTTTCATTTACTGGCCCAAGTTCAGAAGAGGCCATTACACTGCAATTCTGAAACGAACTTAATTGTTTTATTTTATGCTTTGTTTAGATTGTGCAGTGACAATAATAATGTTATTTAGTAGTCGGGCGTAAATTCTACAATCTTGAAAAACAGCAAGTGCGTTTCCAAATATGAAATCTACTGTACAGTAGATTTCACAATCTTTGAAAAACAACCTCTTCCCATTTATATAGAGTGTCTTGATAGCCAAGAAACACGCACTTGTAGAATACGGTATAATTTACATTATTACTATTTAGAAGAGCAATTGCTTGGCCGTGTTTAGGTCCAGCTCCAGCAGAGTTTGAAAACGTAATGGATTTAGCTATGAAGTTGTTCGCACCCACAACTACAAAGTTGAAAAGAATAATAATTATTAGAAGGTCTAACTTTTAATAAAATTGAAATAATATAAGAAAATGAAAAATAACAAAATTTAATCTCTAACCCATTCAAAAGAAAAAAATTGATATCTAACCATTGAAAATAAAAAATGGGTATCTAACCCCTCTTAAATCGAAAGAAAAAAAAAAATGTCTCTACATTATCCAAATTTGTGAGAAAATTTATATATTTTTATATTTTAATGGTACAAATTTATTAAAATAAACAGGGGTTATTATTATTAAATATAAAAATTGTATTTATATTTAATAAGAATTACTTTTTCCAAGAGAAAGTTTATATATTTAGATATTTTAATGGTATAATTCTATTAAAATAAAGAGGGGTTTTTATATTTATATTTAATAAGAATTAATTTTTATATTTATATTTAATAAGAATTCATTTTTTAAAATTTTGAATTGGTCAAGAATTTGTTTAAACAATAATTAAAAGTACAGAAATCAATATAATTAAATAATTATACTGACATTCTAGAAGCAAATAAACACAATTATTTGAAGTTTAATCAATTTCGATAATACTCATTGCAAACAAATGATGGACTTGATATTTACTTAAATGACATTATTCATCCATTTTTAAAAAAAAAATTCAGACTCAAGGACGAGAACCTTTAACTTCTCATTTAAAAAAAATGGTCAAACCAATTTTTTATCTCTAAAATCTGTAAAATCACCAATGGTTTAGAAACGTGGTAAAAAAAAAGTGACACTAATTTTTTATTTCTAAAATCTGTAACATCACCCATGTTTAGAAACGTGATAAAAAAAAAATGACAATAGCTAGCTTACCAAAAGTTGCTGAATCTGAAATCTGTAACATCACCCTTATTTTGTTTCATTTTTTAATTTTTCCGGTCTTCAACTTTGATTTTGTTGATTTTGTTGGTAGTGTTACATTGTTATTTTTTTCCTAAGCCTTTTCTAAATTTATCAAAAAAGATTTTAATTTCAAACTTTGAAACAAACAATAATTTTAATTTACTTTGAAACAAACAAGGTACTAATTACGGTTTTAATTTGGAAACTTTGTAACAAACAATAATTTTAATTTTGAAAGTTTTAATTAGGGTTTTTTAATTTAGAAATTTTGAAACGGGTTAATTATAAATAATTGGTGTTAATTATAAATCTAAATTAATTTATTAGAGTAAAGTTCACCTCTTTAATTCACCATCTAATCATTATTAAGTAGCAAAAAAGAAAAAAAAAATGAATAAAGATAGGATGAAATGAAAAAAAAATAAATAAATAAGGAAGAAACAAAGGGAACCGAACCCGAAACCAAAATCGAGTCTGTTTGGGTTCAGAAAAATGAACCCAACCCTTATAGTTCGGGTTGGATTGGTCCGGATTGTCGGGTTGAATGTAAACCCCTACCCTCCTCGCTAGTTTTCCAAATACATCTAAATTCAATTTAGAAACTCCTTTTTCTAATATTTTATAACTTTTTAAAGAAAATGGTAAAAAAAAAACATTATTCTCACATATTTAAACAACCATTTAAAGAAATATATATATAACTTTCAATTAAAAAAATCATACAAATTAATCATAATAAATATGTCAAACACCATTTAATAAAATTGAAATGTATAAACTATCCATAACTGAATTTTTAAATTATAATTAAAATAATAATTGAATTGTATAACTAAAATGGTATATTATAATTAAAATTTATAGAGTTCATTAATATGTATAGTTATATAATTATCATAGCATCAAAACTTATGGCTCTCTGATAAAGAAAAATATTTTATTTTAGGGTTTCAAAACCATACTCTATAATTGAAAGGGTAAATAAATAGTAATAATTTAAGATATGTGAATGCTTCAATTTTCAATCTAATCACATTTGTCGATATAAGAAATCATAAGCTCAACACTTCATTTAATGAGCATTTGAACAAATCGAATCATTGTGTAAAATGGCAAAAATCGGAGCAATTAATACAAGAAAAATCGGAAAAAAATCAAGAGTGGGCCCGTTCTTTAATGGCAAAAAAATCCTTGCATTTAAAAACTTATTTAATGTAAAAAAAAAAAAAAAAAACATTGGATAAATTGCAAGATTGTAATAAAATATAAAATAAAATAATATTAAATGCAAGTTTTTTTTTTTTCTTTTTAGTATATTATAAGGCTAAATAAATGTATTATGAATGCTTGTAAAAATAATTTCATTTGTAGTTAGGACAAGAGGTAATTAAACGGAACTAAAGAAAAGCATAAAAATCTTAACCACTAAGTACATTTTTAGCTACATAAGCCTTGCATATAATTCCAAAATTAAAATATATTAATCTAACTTTGAACTAATAATAATAAATTTTAAAACAGTAACAAAGGTTGGGTTGGGTTCATTTTTCTGAACTCGAACGAATTCGATTCGGTTTCGAATTTTAGGACAAAACCTTCAAATTGACTCGAGCTAAATAAAAATATATAATATATATTAAGGAACTTATTGTAATTATAGTTTTACACCGTGGTATTAAGTCAACTCTAGTGGACGACCAATGTGGCACTTAAAGAAAAATAAATTAATATAGTTAGATTGAAACGTAAAAATGAGACTGTAGGATGTTCAGAATAATAATAATAATAAGAAATTTAAAAAATAAATAAAACAGCTCTGTCCTTCAAACCTATTCCATTTTTTCAACTACCATTTTGCTCATTGTACTGTTTTTCTAATAATAGTAAAAGAAAAAAAAAAAAAAATCAAATTTCTTGAAGCCCCATGCTCCACAAATTGTTTTTCAAAACTTTTATTTTTGGAATCTCCGTCAAAAAAGAAAAATTATCCGTTCCCATTAGAAGATTTTTCTAAATTTATTTATTTATATTTTTTATTTGAAAAAATCTACTAGGTTCTTTTTCACTGTTCTCATATAATCTATAAAAATTCTCATTTTTCAATCTTAAAAATAATAAAAGTAATTATGATTATCGAAACATAATATCTTATTTAAAAAATTATTAAATTGTGCTGAAAAAACCACTTATTATAATTTAATAAATTTAAGTCGTTAATCTTAAAACTTAATTATTAAAATACTAGAAAAAATATAATAATAATTTAGCTTTTTAGAAATTCCAATTTGATCGGTAATGTCTATTATAATAATAATAATTAGTATTCCACAAAAAAAAGATTAAAACAGTCTGAAAATCGATGTTTTATTTTATTTTACTGCAAGATAAATTTTGATGGTTTACAAATTTTAATCTCAAATATCACATCAAATTAATTACGTGACTCCTTACGCTAAACTTACATAATTAATTAACTTTTTTTTTTTTTCCTTAATTCCAAAAAAGAAACATGATTTATTAGAATAAATAATTAAGTAAATAATTTCACTTCAATATTAAAAGACAAAGTTATATTGCCTTGTTATAAGGCCCTTTCGGCTGTTTATCTGATCTTCTGGAGAGGGATTAGAGATTTAGGAAAAATAAAAATAAAATGAAAAATTAACTTTAAAAAATATGTCCATCAATAAATTAAAGAGAAGAATTAAAATGAAGATATGAAACGATACCAAATAACTTTTATTCTATGTCACATTGCACATATCTATATTACAAATCGGGTTTATATGGTACACCAGTTTCTGGCAACCATGTAGTCCCATTAATAAATTGCCGTACACTGAATCGAGTAGCTTCTTTTCGATTCTCTATTGCATGGAATCCCGGCCACTTGACTCTTCCGGATAAGTTAGCCCCCGGTCCTCTGTTGCCATACTCAGCATAAAATAATAATTTCAGAGAACTACTATTGGACCATTCTGACCATCCGGCAGGATTCACCACTGAGTCTAGAAACGATTCCATGAAAATCACAGTGGAATAGTCTCTCCAAGGACGGCCAAGAAACACAATCGTTTCATTTACTGGCCCAAGTTCAGGAGAGACCATTACACTGCAATTCTGAAACGAAAAGCCACTCAATTGTTTTATGTTATCTTTAGATTGTGCAGTGACAGTAACAGTGTTATTCAGTAGTCGGGCGTAAATTCTACAATCTTGAAAAACAACAAGTGCGTTTCCAAATATGAAATCTACTGTACCGTAGATTTCACAATCTTTGAAAAACAACATCTTTCCATTTATGAAAAGTGTGTCTTGATACCCAAGAAAAACGCACTTGTAAAATACGGTATAATTTACATTATCGCTGTTCAGAAGAGCAACTGCTTGGCCGTGTTTAGGTCCAGCTCCAGCAGAATTTGAAAATGTAATAGAAACCGCTAGGAAGTGGTTTGCACCCACAGCTACAAAGTTGAAGAGAATAATAATTATTAAAAGGTCTCATTCATAAAATTGAAATATAAGAAAATGAAAAAAAAACAAAATTTAATCCCTAACCCAGGAAAAAACTGATATCTAATCCATTGAAAATAAAAACTTGTCTAACGCCCGGTAGAAATCCAAAGAAAAAAAAGTCTTATAAATTTATTAAAATAGAGTGGTTATTAATATTAAAGATAAAAATTGTATTTATTTTCCTATTTTAATGGTATAAATTTATTAAAATAAAGAGTGGTTATGAGTAATAGAGATAAAAATTGTATTTATTTTTAATAAAAATTACTTTTTCAAAAATGTGTGAGAAAGTTTAGATATTTAGATATTTTAATGACATAAATCGATTAAAATAAGGAGGGGTCAATAGTATTAAATATAAATATAATTAATTTTTAAAAATTTTAAATTTCTCAAAAACTTGTTAAAACACAAATTAAAAGACATTCTAAAAGCAAATTAACACAAATATTTAACTTTTAATCCGTTTCCTTGTTGCAAACAGACTAATTTTTAACTTTTTTAACTTTTAATCCATTTCAATAATGCTGGTTGCAAACAGACTAATTTTAATATTTAAAGAAACAAATAGGGACATTATAAATTAATTTTTTTAAAAAAGTATTAATGACTTAGAACATTTAACTTCTAATTTAAAAAAATGGTCAAACACTTTTCTATCTCTAAAATCTTCAAAAAAAAGTGAAAAAAGTGACAACAGCTAGCTTACCGAATGTGGCTGAATCCGAAGTTCCAAAGCCAGTGGCCTGGCTCCTGTTACCCACTATAGTTGTGGTAGACGCATCGTCGCCCTTTAATGTAATGAAGGTTTTCGACGATTCGATTTTTATATATTCAAAATACATTCCAGGTTTAACATGAATGATAAACCTGGAGTCACTGTTATTCGGTGCCGCTGCTATAGCGGCACCGATTGTTGTATAATCTCCCTTCCCGTCCAATGAGACGGTTGCATTATAAGAAATGCAGGAGGATGTAGTACAGAAAAATGTAACAAAGAAGAGGATGAAAAAGCAAGACATTTTGAAGATGTATAGAGGTGCAGAGATTGAAATTTAAATGAGCGAGATTAAGAGCCGATTGAGAAAGAGATTGAGAGAAGATTGAGAGAAAATGGAGAGCAGATTGAGAGAAAATGGAGAGCAGATTGAAAGTGAGCGAGATTGAGGTGTGTTTATTATTAAAATCAGTTCAGTTCATTTATATGGGAAAGAGAAGAGACGAAAATGGAAGAGAGGAAAAAATGTATATTTCTTCTTATAGCAAAGAAAATGTTACATGTCACTGTCACTGTCTATTCAGATGTTAAATGTCACTGTCACCTAAATATGTAAACCCAAAAGTTAAACATCACTAAATTTGTAAACGAGAGGTTAGATGTCATTTTCATTTAAAAGTTACCGAGACAAAGAGACAAAGACGAAGAAAGAAAGAAAAATTGAAAAAGATGGATAATACCAAAGTTTTCCGGCGACCGTAACCCAAACTCCGGCGACTTCGAATAAGTCTGTCTCCAAACCCTTAGACCTCACCTGTAACTACAGAAACCACGAAATAAAGAGAGAAAAGAGTTGAAGACGAAAGTTAGCAAAGAAGTTACAAACACAGAGATGGAGAATACCGAAGTTTTCCGGCGAGTACTCCGGCGACTTGGAAAACAGCCTCCAACGAATCTCACCTGTAAGGACAGAAACCACAAAATGAAGAGAGAAGAGCGTGGAAGACGAAATTTAGCAAATAAGTTACAAACACACAGATGGAGAATACTAGGTTTTACGGCGAGCGTAACCAAACTCCGGCGACTTCAAAAAACGTCAGCCTCCAACGAACCCTTAGACCTCACCTGTAAGGACAGAAACCACGAAATGAGGAGAGAAAAGAGTGGAAGACGAACGGTTTTGTCTCGTCGGACATAAACGCCGGCGAGACAGAGACTCGCAAAAGAAAGACGAACAAACCTGCAGAGATTAACACAACCATTATTCTGGGAAGAGAGGACTAACGAGACCGAGCCAAGGAACACCTTGATGCACACGAGTGATTACTACCAAACGAGGCATAGGTTTGCCGGCCAAGAGGATGAAGTGATTGAAGAACCAGACAAAGGGTCGTCTCCTTACGTTCTCGCGGCGGCAGAAACTAAAAGGTTAGGGTTTGTTATCTACTCTTTTATTTTTTTCCCAAATGTTTAAAACGGCCCAACCCATCATTTTAAACGGCCCAACCCGGGCAGAGGCACGCTTCGAACCCCGGTGGACGCAGATTTACCCTTCTATTTTTCAGGACATGACACGTGGCGTGCAGGGACTGGCAGTAGGTTTCGGGTTGGACCGCGAGTCGGTTTCCGGTTTGGGTTTCTGGGTCGCAGTCGTACGCGTCTCCCTCTTGTTGCCGGACGCGTCTCCCTCCTATTCGGCCGCCGCGTGTTCGTCGCCGATTGCCTGAGTTCTTCCTATTTCCAGATTCCAGTCAAATTCCATACCAACCTATTTGTTTTGGATTTTTCTATCTTTCAATCCGTAACTCGTATGAATTCGATTGCTTCACGAGAATTCAAGATCTCAAGTCCAGCTATCCAGATATATTTTTCTTGCATTTTTTTGATACTCACAGAGCTTAATAAATGAGATCGAAAATTAGAAAAGATTCAGTTTCTTACCGGAATTGGACTATTCTCGATTTCCTTTCCCGATACGATTTTTGGCCGCGATTCCTCCGAAAAATTGGAAGAATCCTTACCTAAGGTATTGCAACTAGATTATTAAGACCTAAATTATCCGAAACTCACAGATCTGTAGTGAAACAAACGAGGTCGCCGACTTACCTCGCGCTCTTGCCCGTTTATCACCTGAAACGAACGATCCAAACGCTCAGACCGCTCCTCTTGATCCTCTAAGTAGATCCGGTAGGAAACCTGAGATCGAGATTGCTTCGGTGTTCGAGTTTGGGCGTTCTTCCCTCCTTCTTCTTCTCCTTCGTAAAAACCCTAACTCCTCCTTCTTTTTGTTTCTCTCTCTTTTTCTTTTTCTTTTCTTGCAGACCAGATCGCTTTTTCGTTTTCTTTTCTTGCAGATCTGTGCAGACCCCTCAAGTTTGTGGGGGGGGGGGGGCAAAATTACTGTTTTGCCCCATTTGACTTTTGACCCGAATTTTTTTATTAAATCACCATTTTTTTCAACAAAAAAAAAAAAAAAAAAAATTCTAAGCTGCTCGATGTATCTCGAACATTTTTTCCTTCTACACCAATTTGAGAATCACGCTCTAAGACATTCAATAAAATCTAGAAACTTGTAAACGTTAAAAGGGTGCTAGGCATAAAATAGTGTGAGTTGTACCTGTTGAGCTCGGAGTGTTACATAGCTCCTTGTGACTAATCCATCTCTAGGGCTTCTAATCGCTGCTCATGATGTTGGGGCAAGGTTTACTAGAAATATTTTTATTCTCTTTATTCTTTTTTATTTTTTATTTTTGCATTTTAAGAATTATTAAAAATAATAATAATAAATAAATACTCTATAATATGAATGAATCATTATAATTTTAATCAATAACATCGCTATCACAACGTCCTGTCTCAACTCCCCACACTCTCACTCTTATCTTATTTTCTCGTGAATCCCGCACATCTACCGCTCTTTCCCTCTTTTTTATTTTTTTATTTTTCTTACTATTTAATTCTGGGCCTAGGCCCACTTTCTGATCCATTTTCTTGGGCCGACAGCCCATTCATATTTTTCTTTTTTCTTTTTTTTTTAATAAATAAATTATCTAATTTAAATAAACTAATAAAAATTCTCCTCCCTCTTACAAAATTTCAATAATATATATATATATTTATTTATTTATTTATTTATTTTTATTTTTATTTTTAATAGTGAAAATGGTCAGATTTGTTTTATTATCCTTCAATTTCTTTTTACATAACTCGGATTAATGTGATTCCTTCCCGAGATTCGTAAACCTCATATCCATATACGTTGTTAGCACCACCACTATGTGCAAAAAAAAATTAATGTTGAAAAATTAAATGACAAAATTAGGCTCTAACATTTGAAATTTAGTACTCATTTGGACCCGATCGGATAGGAACCATTGAGTGCGCCGTTACCAGGTCGAAACCACCTGTACATTGATCACACCGGTGTGAGATTGGAAGATCAAACCTTTGGGTAAGAAATGCATATTTCTTTTAAGTCCATCTATGTTCATTTCTTTCTTTTCTTTTTTCTTCAAATTATTTGTTGCTTCCATTTAATACCAAATCATTTCCAAATACTATTTGATATGGCATTTAATAATTAATATATTTAATACCATACTCTTTTTTAATGGATAGTAGGATTAGAATGAATCTTTTTTAATGGATAGTAGGATTAGAATGAATCGGAGGCACAAGAGATATAAATTCCAATATTAAATTTTAATGAATGTTAAGTATAAACTATATTCGATGAAATTAAACTTATTTTATTATATTATTAATAAATGAAAGTTTCATCTAATTTAATATTTGTAATTGACAATCGAATTCCATAATGGAGTGGGAGCTAACAACCGTCACACGTGTATTTCCATGCGAAAAAAGCATTTTAAGAAATAAAAAAATATACATTTTTATTTACTTTTTTTTTTTATTATTATTATTAATTTTAAACATTTTAAAATATTTTGTTAATATAATGAAATCGTATCCAACCCACTGTTATTAAAGAGATTAAGTTTAAAATAAAATAAAATCAACAAATTAAATTAAGTTCTTTTTTGTGACACTCTTGCTCAATTTATTAAAATGTTGACTGTAATGTTCTATTTAATCTCTAATTTTGGAAGAACTCTTAATTTTATTTCTCATCCTATAACATTTTAATTTATTAATGGAGTTAAAAATGCTCTATATTAATTCTTATTTTGTCCAGATTTATAAATAACGAAGGAATGTTTGTTTTTCTGTTCAAGTTGTGGGTTAATTAGCTGCATCTACTATTTTGGTGAAGATTATCTACAGGATCATGCAAAAGGAAGCACCTTGTATGGATTCAAGGGTGGCCCTGCAGGGATCATGAAGTGCAAACATGTAGAACTCACTGCAGAATTTATCTACCCATATCGCAATCGGGTTAGTAGTATGATCAAAGAATGTTAGTGTGAATATGTGTAGTCTTGATGCGAAGTGGTTGCCATTTGAAAGCGGTTCTTGATTTAAAATGCAAATTTCTTTTATCAGGGTAGTTTTGATATGATATGCAGTGGGAGGGATAAGATTGAAACTCTCATTCTTTCCTGAATTAGCAATATGAGACGCCTTAGTTGTTGTGAAGGCATAAATTGAGAGTTTGGTTCAATTTTCAGTTTAAACAAGCTGAAGAAACAGCTCAGAAGCTTGATCTGGATGGGCTTGTTGTAATTGGTGGAGATGACTCCAACACAAATGCTTGTCTCCTCGCTGAATACCTATGGTACTTTTGAGATCTATGAAATTCTCTCTCTCGTCATCATATATGGATAAGCTGTTATGTATTTTTCCCTTGTATTTGGTTGCTTTTCAAATCAGGAGTAAAAATTTGAAAACCAGAGTAATTGGTTGCCCAAAAACTATTGATGCTGATCTCAAGTGCTTTCCAAATATGAAATCTATTTAGGCTGGGCCGTTGGTTCCTGTCGGCCCGCGTTCTCCAAATTCGCAAGCTATTGTCCAGTATGCTGGAGATGGGCTAGCTGTTGAAGCTGGGCCGTATTTTCAAAGAAGAGCACAAATACACAAGCCAAGCTGGGCTAAACAAAAACCACAAATGCTTGTATTTTTCAAGTCTTCCTACAATTACTACGACAAATTACTATTGTAACATTCTAATTAACCATCGTATAAATTAAAAGTCTTAAAATACATTAATCAAATACAATAAACTTAAATTACTCTAAATTATAATCCACCAAAAATTTATACATGAAACTTCATTCTTCTTCAACGTAGCATGAATTGAAATATCTTTTGATAACTTCAACAATACTTTCTTCACATCTTCATTGAAGCATATTGTATGATTGATGTCTCTTGGTTCATATCAAATGGTCTCTCTTGAACTTGGGTCAGTAAATGAAACGAATGTGTTTCTTCGCCGTCCAACTGTAATTTTCATGTGAATGATGGTCAGCATGGTCCAATAATAGTTCTCTAGAATTATTTTGTTGGGTATAGAATAGAGGCCTAGGGCTAACTTATCTGGACGATCAAATGGCCAGGATTCCATTCAATAAATAATCGAAAAGAAGCCATTAAATTCACTATACGAAAATTTATTAATTGGACTACATGGTTTGCCAGAGACTGATGTACTATATGGACCAGGTTTATAATATAGATATGTGCGACATGTAATATGTACAGTACGGATCAGTATGTAATAAAAGTTATTTGGTATCGTTTTATATCTTCCTTGCAATTTTCTTTTTTAATTTATTGATAATAAAAGTTATTTGGTATACTTTCATATCTTCTTATTAATTTATTGATGGACAGCATATTTGTTATTTTTCAAACTAACAAGTTAACTGGTTGTCGAATCGATCCTTATTTTCAATCTTTTGATAATAATAATTAAATGTTTAAAATCAAGACCAGATCTTGTTTTAATAAAAATACTGCGAGAAAACATTAAAGTTTGTTTAATATCTTTTCCTTTCAATTTTCTTTTTTAAAAATATTATTACAAGAAATTGTTTTTCTTTTCCATACGTAAATTATTCCACGCGGAATATGAACTATAAATTAAATTTTCTCGATAGTTTGTTTTATTGAAGCTTCAGCGTGACTTTTGTTTCATTTTTTAATTTTTGATTTTGTTGATAGTGTTGCATTGTTATTTTTTTTCTAAGCCTTTTCTAAATTTATTTTAGCCAAAATAAATAATATTGTCGTTAAATATCTAAAAAAAAATAATAAAAAATCAAATACTTACAATAAATAATAAAATAATGATAATGACGGTAATAAATTGTAAGACAATAAGAAAAGAAAAGAAAAAACGAATAAATATAAAATAAAATAAAATTAAAAAACAAAGAAAAAATTAAGAGAAAAAAGAAAACCGCTCTCAAATAAAAGCCTCTTATTTGAAACCCTAAACAAATAGGGTTTTAATTTGGAAATATTTAAACAAAAAGGATTTTAATTTGAAACTTTGAAACAAACAAGGTTTTAATTTGGAAACTTTGTAACAAACAATAATTTTAATTTACTTTTGAAACAAACAAGGTTTTAATTACGGTTTTAATTTGGAAACTTTGTAACAAATAATAATTTTAATTTATTTGAAACAAAGGTTTTAATTACGGTTTTAATTGGGAAACTTTTGTAACAAACAATAATTTTAATTTTGGAAGTTTTAATTAGGGTTTTAATTTAGAAATTTTGAAACGGGTTTTAAAACCCATCTTTTATTTCCTCTTGTTTTCAACTAACAAAAATAATTGGTGTTAATTATAAATCTAAATTAATTTATTAGAGTAAAGTTCACCTCTTTAATTCACCATCTAATCTTTGTTAAGTAGCAAAAAAGAAAAAAAAAATGAATAAAGATAGGATGAAATGAAAAAAAAAAAAAAAATAATAAGGAAGAAACAAAGGGAACCGAACCCGAAACCAAAATCGAGTCTGTTTGGGTTCAGAAAAATGAACCCAACCCTTATAGTTCGGGTTGGATTGGTCCGGATTGTCGGGTTGAATGTACACCCCTATCCTCCTCGCTAGTTTTCCAAATACATCTAAATTCAATTTAGAAACTCCTTTTCTAATATTTTATAACTTTGAAAGAAAATGGTAAAAAAAAAACATTATTCTCACATATTTAAACAACCATTTTAAGAAATATATATATAACTTTCAATTAAAAAAATCCTACAAATTAATCATAATAAATATGTCAAACACCATTTAATAATTGAAATGTATAAACTATTCATAACTGAATTTTTAAATTATAATTAAAATAATAATTGAATTGTATAACTAAAATTGTATATTATAATTAAAATTTATAGAGTTCATTAATATGTATAGTTATGTAATTATCATAGCATCAAAACTTACGGCTCTCTGGTAAAGAAAAATATTTTATTTTAGGGTTTCAAAACCATACTCTATAATTGAAAGGGTAAATAAATAGTAATAATTTAAGATAGGTGAATGCTTCAATTTTCAATCTAATCACATTTGTCAATATAAGAAATCATAAGCTCAACACTTCATTTAATGAGCATTTGAACAAATCGAATCATTGTGTAAAATGGCAAAAATCGGAGCAATTAATACAAGAAAAATCGGAAAAAATCAAGAGTGGGCCCGTTCTTTAATGGCAAAAAAATCCTTGCATTTAAAAACTTATTTAATGTAAAAAAAAAAAAAAAAAAACATTGAATTAAAGAGGATAAATTGCAAGATTGTAATAAAATATAAAATAAAATAATATTAAATGCAAGGTTTTTCTTTTTATTTAGTATATTATAAGGCGCTAAATAAGTGTATTATGAATGGTTGTAAAAATAATTTCATTTGTAGTTACGACGAGAGGTAATTAAACGGAACTAGAAAAAAAGCATAAAAATCTTAACCATTAAGTACATTTTTAGCTACATAATCCTTACATATAATTCCAGAATTAAAATATATTAATCTAACTTTGAACTAATAATAATAAATTTTAAAATAGTAACAAAAGAAAAAAAAAATAAAGAAAATAAAAAACATAGAGAATTGATGTAATGAAAATAGTTAAATATCTTAAACTTTTAAAATTACAATAATATCTTTTCATTTTAAACAATTCAGTAATATTTTGACGGTCGGTACTGAATTTTTAAAAGTATTCATAATTTTTTTAAAATAGTATTAACATTCAATTTTATATAAAAAAAAAAAAACAAATTATTGTCAATATATAGATGAATGGATATATCACAGTTTATCTACAATGTTTTAATGTTATTTTGAAAAGCGGTAAAATATCTTTAAATCCTTCAATCACTTCATCTTCTTGGCCGACAAAGCTATGACGTCATTTGATAGTAATCACCCGTGTGCATGAAAGTGTTCTTTAGCTCTACTCGTTAGTCCTCTCTTTCATCTCAGAATAATGGTTGTGTTGGCCCTCTGGAATCATTTAGTTGTCTCCTTCTGTTCTCGGTGTTCTCGGGTGCTGAAACTGATTGAAAATAAACCTTTGGGTCGTATTTATTTTATTTTTTTTTATTTTTATTTTTCCCAAATGATTAATCCCTCTCCAGAAAACCAGACAAACGGCCCAACGGCCCAGCCCAAGCCCAAATTTTTAACCCATCTCTAGAAAACCAGACAAACGGCCCAACGCACAGCCTAAGCCCAAATGTTTAACCCATCTACGGAATATATTTCTTCATCTATATTTTTTAAATAAACTTTTTTTATTACAAATCATATAAAATTTTGAAAAAATTCAATTTGACTTAAAAATCTAAATGAATAAAAAGAAGCATAGATGTGACAAAAATAAATAATCATGATAAAATTTAGAAGCTTCAAATATAATTTAATCTCTACATTATGGGCGTACATTCAACCTGATAACCTGGACCAACCTTGTCCGAACTATAAAGGTTGGGTTGGGTTCATTTTTTCTAAACTCGAACTGATTCGATTCGGTTTCGAATTTTAGGACAAAACCTTCAAATTGACTCGAGCTAAATAAAAATATATAATATATATTAAGGAACTTACTGTAATTATAGTTTTACACCGTGGTATTAAGTCAACTCTAGTGGACGACCGATGTGGCATTTTAAAAAAATAAATTAATATGGTTAGATTGAAATGTAAAAATGAGGGTGTTCAGAATAATAATAATAATAAATTTAAAAAATAAATAAAATAGCTCTGTACTTTAAACCTATTCCATTTTTTCAACTACCATTTTGCTCATTGTACTGTTTTTCTAATAATAATAGTAAAAGAAAAAAAAAAAAAAAAATCAAATTTCTTGAAGCCCCATGCTCCACAAATTGTTTTTCAAAACTTTTATTTTTGGAATCCCCGTCAAAAAAGAAAAATTATCCGTTCCGATTTTTCTAAATTTATTTATTTATATTTTTTATTTGAAAAAATCTTTTTCACTGTTCTCATGTAATCTATAAAAATTCTCATTTTTCAATCTTAAAAATAATAAAAGTAATTATGATTATCGAAATATAATATCTTATTTAAAAAATTATTAAATTGTGCGGAAAAAAACCACTTATTATAATTTAATAAATTTAAGTCGTTAAGCTTAAACTTAATTATTAAAATACTAGAAAAAATATAATAATAATTTAGCTTTTTAGAAAAAACTTAATTATTAAAATACTAGAAAAAATATAATAATAATTTAGCTTTTTAGAAATTCCAATTTCATCGGTAATGTCTATTATAAAATAATAATTAGTCTTCCACAAAAAAAAAAAAATTAAAACAGTCTGAAAATCAACATTTGAATTTTAATCTCAAATATCACATCAAATTAATTACGTGACTTTTTACCCTAAACTTACATAATTAATTAATTTTTTTTTCTTTAATTCCAAAAAAAAAAACATGATTTATTAGAATAAATAATTAAGTAAATAATTTCACTTCAATATTAAAATACAAAGTTATATTGCCTAAGGCCCTTTGGGCTGTTTATCTGATTTCTGGAGAGGGATTAGAGATTTAGGAAAAATAAAAATAAAATGAAAAAATAACTTTAAAAATATGTCCATCAATCAATTAAAGAGAAGAATTAAAATGAAGATATGAAACGATACCAAATAACTTTTATTCTAGGTCACATTGCACATATCTATATTACAAATCGGGTCTATATGGTACACCAGTTTCTGGCAACCATGTAGTCCCATTAATAAATTGTCGTACACTGAATCGAGTAGCTTCTTTTCGATTCTCTATTGCATGGAATCCCGGCCACTTGACTCTTCCGGATAAGTTAGCCCCCGGTCCTCTGTTGCCATACTCAGCATAAAATAATAATTTCAGAGAACTACTATTGGACCATTCTTACCATCCGGCAGGATTCACCACTGAGTCTAGAAACGATTCCATGAAAATCACAGTGGATTAGTCTCTCCAAGGACGGCCAAGAAACACAATCGTTTCATTTACTGGCCCAAGTTGAAGAGAGGCCATTACACTGCAATTCTGAAACGAAAAGCCACTCAATTGTAGTTTGTACTCTTTAGATTGTGCGGTGACAGTGACAGTGTTATTTAGTAGTCGGGCATAAATTCTACAATCTTGAAAAACAACAAGTGCGTTTCCAAATATGAAATCTACTGTACCGTAGATTTCACAATCTTTGAAAAACAACATCTTTCCATTTATGAAAAGTGTGTCTTGATACCCAAGAAAAACGCACTTGTAAAATACGGTATAATTTACATTATCGCTGTTCAGAAGAGCAACTGCTTGGCCGTGTTTAGGTCCAGCTCCAGCAGAATTTGAAAATGTAATAGAAACCGCTAGGAAGTGGTTTGCACCCACAACTACAAAGTTGAAGAGAATAATAATTATTAAAACGTCTCATTCATAAAATTGAAATATAAGAGAATGAAAAAAACAAAATTTAATCCCTAACCCAGGAAAAAACTGATATCTAATCCATTGAAAATAAAAACTTGTCTTAACGCCCCTGGTAGAAATCCAAAGAAAAAAAAAGTCTTATAAATTTATTAAAATAGAGAGTGGTTATTAATATTAAAGATAAAAATTATTTTCTTATTTTAATGGTATAAATTTATTAAAATAAAGAGTGGTTATGAGTAATAGAGATAAAAATTGTATTTATATTTAATAAAAATTTATTTATTTATATTTTTTATTTGAAAAAATCTACTAGGTTCTTTTAAACGGCCCAACCCGGGCAGAGTCACGCTTCGAACCCCGGTGGACGCAGATTTACCCTTCTATTTTTCAGGACATGACACGTGGCGTGCAGGGACTGGCAGTAGGTTTCGGGTTGGACCGCGAGTCGGTTTCCGGTCAACAGTAGGTGTGATAAATAAATAAATAAATAAATAAATAAAAAGTCTACCTGTAAAATGTAACCGTACTAATTCTCATTTAAAAATAAATAAATAAAATAAATAGGAAGAAAAAATAGGTTAGTAGACTAACCTCAATCTGTCTTACTTTTTCATTTTCTGTTTGTTTTAAATATTTATCAAATGAACCATAAATTTAATGAAAAATAGCTATTTTTAGAAGGAATTAGAAAATTAAATCTATTATATGGAAGGATTTAAGTTTGATTTTTTTTCTACTCAAGTAATTAATTTTGATTGATATTGATTTAAACTATACCAAATTGGTAGGATATATATGATTCATTATTTTGGAAAAAATCATATATAGATATTTCAATGTCGGTGCTAAAAATCTTAAGACACATGTCATCAACAAAGATAAGAAACATTTGAATATTTTCCTTCCATATAACAAAAAATCACATGAGTTATACTCCAAAAAAAACTATAACACTAAGATAATCCAAATTCAGTTCCAAAATATTAATAAGGTTTCCTTTTATGTAAGGGCGATTATTAACTTTCCAAACCAAGCTTTGGAGAAGACATCCAAAGTTGTTCTTTATTACCTATAAAAATGAGTACAAAGTGGAGAAATAGAAAAGAAAAAAAAAACCTAACATGATGGTGAAAAAACTCTCTACTATCATTTTTTTATTTCTTTTGAGTTGTTTGTGTCTCGTTTCTCAAATACATCAAACTGCAGCCTCAAATGATTTTGTCAGAGACGCCTGTAAGAAGGAAGGAGAAGAAGACTGGAAATTTTGCTATGATTTGGTAACTTCAGATCCTCGTGAAGACTTGAAATCAAACTTCACAGGACTCCTTACTATCTTCATAAACCATTCCATTCCATATGCCTCTGATACTTATAAGTACATTGTGGAGCAGCTAAAGAGGTCAGATTTAAGCCATATGTCTCGTCAGGCTTTCGAACTCTGTAAGATTAAGTACAAGGCGGGCATAGATGATTTAAAAACATCGTTACAAGATTTGTTAAATGACCCTACCACAGATATGGTTGATGGTACAAATTTGGCGATGGGCGCTTTTCAAATGTGTGACTTAGAATTTGATGGCACTGCACCATATCCACCATATTTGTTGTCTCGTTACAAAGGCTTACTGCGATTTTTGGGTCTTTCAATGGGAGCTGCAAATTTCTTACACTGCAAACACATTCTTCCTTGCTATTATGAGTAAAAAAAGTGCTTCGATCTTCGTTGAATCTCAACCATATATGTGACTGTGAATTCAATGAATCAATAATATTTCTTCTTCTAAAGAAATTTTGATGTGATATGCACTTATATATCTATATATATATGATGTTTGGGTGTCAGTGTTAAAAATCTTAAGACTCATGTCATCAACCAAGAAAAGAAAGATTTGAATATCTTCCTTCCATAAATAAATTAAAAATAAAATCAAGTTATACTTGAAAAAATACCATAAGTCTTAAGATAATCAAATTTAAGTTTCTAAATATTAAACAGATTTCCTTTCCTACAAAGGTTATTATTAGCTTTCCAAACTGAAAAGTAGAGGTGTACATTCAACCTGGCAACACGGAACAACCCAACCCGAACTATAAGAGTTGGGTTGGGTTGGATTAGCATTTCGGGTAGGGTTGGGTTCATTTTTCTGAACCCGAACTGAATCGGTTCGGTTTCGGGTTCATGGGCAAAACGCTCAGGTTGACCTGAGCAAAATAAAAAATATATATAAGTATTAGGAAGATTCTTTCATATTAATTGGTTTTCTAGAGTGGTACTGAGGTTATTCCATGAGTATTTACGCTCGAGTTTGACGCCAACTAAATATATTTTTTCGGTTTTGTTATTTTTAATTTCTTTGTTTTGTTTATATTATTTTATTATTTAATTTCTTTGTGTTCAATTTTATTTATATATATATATATATATAAATATATATATTTTAAAATACCTTAATATTTCATACTCTTTTTAAAAACACGTTAGAGTAAACTATAACTTACTTATTCATTTCATGATTTACCGTTGTATTTACTTTAACGAATTCTGAAAAATGTCGGTATTTAGTTGCCTTTAGTTTTATGACAATATTGAACTATGTTAATATGTTACAATTTTCACTAGTTATTTTTTATTGATTTTTTTTTTCAATAATTATAGATTGATTTATGTTTGCTTGAAAACTTTTAATATATTTTATTTAAGATTATATCCGAATTAATTATAGATTGTGGATAAATAAAACTTAAAAAAAAAAATTGACAACCCAACCCGAACCCAACCCGAAAATAGAGGATTGGGTTGGGTTGGGTTTTGAAAAATTTTGGGTTGGGTTGGGTTACCAATCCAACCAACCTGAACTGTTGGGTTACGTCAAAAAAATCCTCCAACCCAACCCGGACCATGTACACCCCTACTGAAAAGATAGTAAAAGTTGTTCTTTATTACCGATAAAAAAGAGTAGGACTGGGGAATTAGAAAATAAGTAAAAACAAACATGATGGTGAAAAAACTCTCTAGTATCATTTTTTTTATTTCTTTGAAAAAAACTCTCTACTAGTCATAAGCTCAACTGCAAGAAAAGAAAACGTGAAAGATAAAAGAAAATGACCGAATACGAACCATTTAACCCGTCGGACATAAACTCCGGTGAGACGAAACCCCCTTCCTTCCCTAGTGCAACGCCGTGAAACAGAGGACTTGCGAGCAATAAAACAAATAAATAAATTAAAATAATAATAATAAATAAATAAAATAAAGGAGGAAGCGGGTGGTGCAACCGTGCCCTGCCACCGCTGACGACCGCAGGCAGGAAAGACAACTCGAGTTGCCGATTTTCGAGGCCATTCAAGGGTAGAAGGAGAGGGATTTGAGAGACGTCGGAGATGGAGGAGAAATGTTAAGGATTCTTGATGCTGAGGCTTGAAGTTTGAGGTCAGTGGAGACAAAGGGGTCGAAAGGGGCGGAAGGAGGCGGAGGATCGAGGCATCGCTTGGGGTAATGGTTTTGTATGCGATTCTTTTCAATAACTCTCAAATGTGTATACGATGACCATCTATGACTTCATCTTGAGTAGATCTACGAGGTTTGTAGCCGTCGGAAGGGGCGGAAGGATGGTTGTAGCCGTCGGAAACCAAATCGGGGGAGAAAAACGAAGGGGGAAGAAGTTCGGCGACGACACAGGCAAGGGAAAGAGGAAAAAAAATCAGGAGAAGAGGGAAAACCCCGGGTTGGGCCGCAGAGAGAGCGCGCGATGGGCCGGGCAGGCCGCGTGCACGCGGGTCGGCCCGCGGAGTTTTCCCTTTCTCCTGATTTTTTTTTTTCTTGTGATTGGAACGGATAATTTTTCTTTTAGGGAGATTTTGGAAATGAACTTGGTCCAATCTCATTTTTTTAATACTACTATGAAAAGATTAATAGATTTAACATTTTAATGGTATAAATTTATTAGCCGTGCATTTTTTATACAATTTCTTCTAATGCTACCATGTCCTTGGATGGAAAGAGAAATTATACCAGTGTTACCTTGTATAATCTCTAGGGACGGTATGGTATCCGCTAATATGAACAACATCATCTATGGAAGCTTAGTTGGCAAACCCTTCTATGAGACCATAAAGTTACCAAGAGTTGGGAGAGCGACCTTTCTGTAACGGCTAGCTACTAGGTCAACTTATGTGGTCCCACATCCCTAAGAACACATTAATAGCATAGAGACGTTGTTCAGGAGACCACTAGTCATTTCCACATGGTTGGGACACCTAGTCGTCTTGTCACACCTCTCCTATCTTGCTTGTGCCTACCTCGACGGTACGAGTACTCGAGTGTAATCTCGACGGAATGGTTATTGGAATGGAAAGGTAATAGAGACTCTATTGACACCATTTGGTAGGATATATATATATATGATTTATTATTTTGAAAAAAAAAATTATTCATTTATTATCATAACACTTAGATGTTTCAATGTCGGTGTTAAAAATCTTAAGACACGAGTCATCAATAAAGATGAAAAGATTTGAATATTTTCCTTTCATATAAAAAAAAAAAAAAAAAAAAAAAAAAAAAAAAAAAAAAAAAAAAAAAAAAAAAAAAAAAAAAAAAAAAAAAAAAAAAANAAAAAAAAAAAAAAAAAAAAAAAAAAAAAAAAAAAAAATCACATGAGTTATACTTGAATGAAACACTAAGCTTAAAATAGTTAAAATTCAGTTTCAAAATATTAATAAGGTTTCCTTTTCTAGAAATATATGATTATTAACTTTCCAAACCAAGCTTTGGAGAAGAACTCCAAAGTTGTTATTTATTACCTATAAAAATGAGTACAAAGTGGAGAAATAGAAAAGAAAAAAAAACTAACATGATGGTGAAAAAACTCTCTTGTATCCCTTTTTTATTTCTTTTGAGTTTTTGTGTCTAGTTTCTCAAATACATCAAACTGTGGCCTCAGATGATTTTGTCAGAGACGCCCGTAAGAAGAATGGAGAAGAAGAATGGAAATTTTGCTATGATTTGGTAGTTTCAGATCCTCGTGCAGACTTGAAATCAAACTTCACAGGACTCCTGACTATTTTCATAAATCATTCCATTCCATATGCCTCGGATACTTATAAGTACATTGTGGAGCAGCTGAAGAGGTCAGATTTAAGCCATATGTCTCGTCAGGCTTTCGAACTCTGCAAGACTAAGTACAAGGAGGGCATAGATGATTTAAAAACATCGTTACAAGATTTTTTAAATGACCCTAACACAATTAATAAATATAGGTGTAAATCATAATTAAAAATCTCTCATAAACTATATTCTTAAGTTAAATAATTGTTTGTATTATATAACAAAATAATATAAAAAAAATTAAACAAAAAAACACGCACTTGTAAAGTGTGTCTTGATAGCCAAGAAACACGCATTTGTAGAATACGGTATGATTCACACCATCACTATTCAGAAGAGCAACTGTATGGCCGTGTTTAGGTATAGCTCCAGCACAAAACGTAATGGAAATAGTTACAAAGTTGTTAGCAGCCACAACTACAAAGTTCAAACAAAATAATAATTATAAGAAGGTTTATGTATTAAAATTGAAATATAACGAAATTGAAATAATTTCTAACCCATTTAGTGGAAAATTGATATCTAACACATTGGAAATGAAGAAAATTAAAAACAAAATCCGGAGTATTTGGATAAAACACAGATTAAAAATACAGAAATCAATTAAATAATTATATTAATATTATGCCATCAAATAAACACATTAAATAATTATATTAATATTATGAAGTTAAATAAACACATCAGTAACTTTACTTAAATAAACAAATCAGACTTAAAAGAGAGTTAAAAAAAAATCAGATTTGAAACCAGTTTTTTTTTTATTATAAAAAATCAGACTTAAAAGAGAACATATAAGATCAATCACCTTTTTATATCTAAATTAAATATAAAAAAAAATTGTATATCTAAAATTAAAAATAAAAAAAAAATAAAAAATAAAAAAAAGAAGAAGGGTCGGGTAAAAAAAAATCTGGAATAGGGATACCTTTCACCTCCTCATCTCCTTTGTAGGAGTACTTTCCATGATTTTTTTTTTTTTTTTTAGAGTCTCAGTTTCTATTTCAGGAGATATGAGCCATTAAATTTTTTTTTTTTTTTTGATGTTTTCTTTGAAATCTTTATAAACTAGATAAAGGATATTACAGACAGAGAAGTCAAATTAAACTTACCTGGACGTTATAGATACACTTAGAAATAAATCGATTCATGAATAGGAGAATAACTTTTCAAAATTTGAGCAATACAATCATTATTGATAGACTAACTCGAGAAATCATATAAAAAACTGCGAAAAAAAATAATTTGTAATACAATAGTGAAGAACAAGATACACACTCACGTTTCTTCAGATCTTCAGTAGCAGCATCATTCACTTTATCCTCTCCTCCAAAGTTCTTCTCATCTGAAGCGTTTAACAATTCCTGAGTAGCTCTTAGAGCTCTCAATAGCTCTTTGCCTACTGAAATATGGCGTGTAAGAACTCTAATTTATAGAAGAAAGAAGAGAGAGGAGAAATGGAATAGGAGAAGAGTGAAGTTAGATGTCACTATCAGGATGGTTAGATGTCACTATCACGAGGTTAGATGTCACTATCACATCTCCAGCGATGCTAAGTCAGCCTCAAACGAAATGGCAACAGCTTCGACGACAGCTCCGACGACACTATGTATCCTGGTTCAATAAATATATATTTGATGTATTTTATAATACTCCACATGTTTTTTAAAATAAAAAAAAATAAAAA